GCTGTCACAACTAATTTTGGCTGTCCGCAATGCGAGTGTGCCCACGGGGTATATATATATGTGTGTGTGTGTGTGTGTGTATGTGTGTGTGTGTGTGCATGCACAAACCCATTGACAGCGCCTGAGAGCTCTTCAGAAGGTGGTTGTCAAATCCAGCGTTCATTTCTCTCTCTCTCTCTCTCTCTTTTCCCCCCTATAACTTTCAGAAGAAAGATTTACATCACAAATTTGTTTCGGGGAGTGTTTAAGGACTGTAATTTCCTCTCTTTCTTTCTTTCTTTTTTTCCCCCCTCTCTCTCCCAATGGCAGTTTGATGGGCTTTCATTTCCTAAGCTTCCCACTCGCTGGTACCCCGCCTGGCTCCGTCTCTTGCCTCTCCATCAACCGTTGTCATGTTGCCCGCATGAGATCGGCCTAAACTCCCTGGCGTTGCTGCGCGTTGGTGAATGTCAGATCGCTTTCTCTTCCCTGGCTTTGGATGAAAAGTTTCGCGTACACAGCGGGGCTTAGCAAGTTTCCCCGAAGGCGGAGGTGGAAGTCTTGAGTGGAAGACTACTTGAGCTGAGGGGGCTTTGGGTTGTTTTCTCGCAGACGTTTCATGACCCGAGTGGGTAACATCATCAGTACTAGCAGGGAGGGAGGTTTGTGGAATGGACGAGAAAGGAGAAGGAGAAAGAGGACTGTGGGGGTCCTTGGTACTCTCTGAGCTTGGTTGTTTTCTCGCAGACGTTTCATGACCCAACTAGGTAACATCATCCATGCTGGAAGGTAGTACGGGATAGAAGCAAGCTCCCTTCTAGAACGGATGATGTTATCTAGTTGGGTCATGAAACATCTGCAAGAAAATAATCCAGTTCAGAGAGAATTAAAGACCCTTCAGTCTTCCTCCTCCTCCTCTCCACAAACCCCACTCCCTTTTAATACTGATGATGTTGCCTAGTTGGGTCATGAAACGTCTCCTAAGAAAACCACCCAGCTCAGAGACCACCAAGGACCCCATAGCTCAACCCTGAGCTACCAATATTCTCTTCTATTGCTACCCACTCATCTATGCAATCCTGAGCAACTCCTAGCTTCAAAGCAGAGCAGATTTGAACATCAAAGTCATGAGTAGCGAACCTACTTTCCCGATGGGGTTACGGTAACAAAACCTTGCAAGTGTGAATGCGTCTCCCAATCCCTGCCTACATCTTCTTGCTTAGAAGCAGAAATTCTTATTGCAGCTGTAAGGTGAGAACGACCTGTCCTTTGGCAGTTAACATAAAACATGTTATTACAGGAAAAGGTAATACAGCATGTACTATAAATGTAATTTCTTGCAGCAGCCACCATCTGTGTCTCTAATACATTTAAGAGCTTTTAATAAAGGCCATTTTCTCCGAAAAGCACGCCCACAGAATACTGCATATTTGCAACACAGGAAGGGCTGCAAATGACGTTTTTTTATGGAAAAATGGCATGGGGAGGAGCCCAAAATACTGGGAAAGAGTTGGATAAACCCAGCGAGTGACTCATTTCTTTTGACTTACAATGACTCACAAGAGCAATTTCCAATAACTCCTCTTTGCACGCAGGCAGACAAAGGCAAACTAGCTTTTTTTTTTTCCCGATGACTTGAAAGCAACTTGGGGGCTTCTTAGGAAATCTGACCTTTTCTCTCTTTTGAGAATTTGCAGGATGTGATTACAGATAGACCTCTGCTTACGACCATTGTTGAACCCCAAATTTCCGTTGCTAAGCGGGTTTTGCCCCATTTTTTCCAAACTTTCTTGCTACAAGGGGTTAAGTTAAATCCAGTGGTGGGATTGAAAAATTTGTTACTACCGGTTCTGTGGGCATGGCTAGGTGGGCATGGCTAGGTAGGCGTGGTCATGCGATTGGGTAGGCGTGACCTTTTTTGCAGCACCACCCCACCCCATTTTTGGGAGAGCCTCTTGGGCAAAGCAGTAAGAAGCGAGGGGAATCCCAACAACAGCTGTTTGTAGGAATAGCTGATTGTCGGGAGATTAAAAAAAAATAACTTAAGGAGTGACTGGGCGGGCGAGCATTGAGCGGATGCATTGGGTGGGCGGGGCAAGCGAGTGAGTGGCGAATGGGTTGGGGGTGTGGCCAGCCAGAAGACACTACCATTTCAGTGATCCATGCCAAATCCTTGCTACCGGTTCGCCTGAACCGGTGTGAACCAGCTGAATACCACCACGGGTACCCTGATGTTCAGGCTGGATATATTTGGGGAAATTAAAATAGCAACCTCTTTCCACACTGCTGTGAATTAACTAAAGAGGTTTGAGAAGGATCCTTCACAAGTGTGCAGCCCATGGGGTGCTTGCAAACAACTCCTCTGCTCGCAATAGAATATCTTATGCCACCCAGGCTTGGAATTTAGGAACTGGACAATCTAGAACTACGCCGCCTACGATCCAACCTAAGCTTAGTGCACAAAATTGTCTGCTACAACGTCCTACCTGTCAATGACTACTTCAGCTTCAACCGCAACAACACACAGGCAAAACAATAGATGCAAACTCAAAGTAAACCGCTCCAAACTCGATTGCAGAAAATACGACTTCAGCAAAAGAGTGGTCAATGCCTGGAACTCACTCCCCGACTCTGTTGTTATATCCTCAAACCCAGAGGTGGTATCCAGCCGGTTCTGACCAGTTCTAGAGCACTGGTAGCGGAAATTTTGAGTAGTTTGGAATCCCACCTCTGACTGGCCCTGCCAACCCCATCTCTTCTCTGCCTCCCGAGTCCCAGCTGATCGGCTAGGTCTTCCTTTGTTCCCCTGCATAGGAGAATGGAGCTGGAAAGCAGGTTAGAGGGGTGGGGAGGGAATGGAGATTTTACAGTATCCTTCCCCTGCCACACCAAGCCACACCCACCAAGCCACACCCACAGAACCGGTAGTAAAATTTTTTGAATCCCACCACTGTTCAACACCCTAAACACTTTAACCTTAAACTGCCTACCGTGGACCTCACCCCATTCCTAAGAGGTCTGTAAGGGGGCATGCATAAGTCCATCAGCGTGCCCACCGTCCCTGTCATACTATTCCCATTTATCCATTTATTCATACTCCTTTATTATGTATATACTTATAGCCATTTATACTTATATGTTTATATGTTATGTTCATACTTCTACTTGTTTTCTCATACATGCTTGACAAACAAAATAAATACATAAATAAATACAGGTACGCGTTTCAAGGCTATCCCTTGTTACACTTTTGCAACACAGAACAAATATTGGCTTGTTTCTTTAACTCTTAAGGCTTTTCTTAGATGTATGGAGTTATTCTCTTTGGGCTTTCATCTCGGGAGCCTCGGGCGGTTCCTTTTGGGCGTCCCTCTTCTTCTTGAACCACTAAATACCCTTTTTTTTCTACTAATTACAGGTGTCCACGGCATCCTTGATGAGATAGCTGTGGTTCCGCTTCACGGATACGGAGCTAAAAGGACAGGGCTTCGCGCAGGAGAACCAAAAAGAATGGGAAGGAAGAGGAGAGGATGGACAAAGGCCACCCCTCATGGCTATTGACCAAGAAGACAGAGGAGGTGGAAGATCAATTCCTTTGTTCAGCTGGTTTGTCTTGGTGAGGTTGACTGACAAGGGGGCTGGGGATTATGGAATAAACAGTTGCAAGGAACTGGGCTCGTCGAAAGAGAGGAACTAGGAGGAGTAACTTGATAGCAGTCTTCCAAAATTTGAGGGGCTGCCAGAACGGAGAAGGGGGTTAACCTAGCCTCCAAAGCCCAGAGGGCAGGACAAGAAGTAACAGCAGAAGATCTTAGGACTCTATGACTATTATTAAGTGTTGTACCTGATGATTCTTGACTCTAGATGAATGTATCTTTTCTTTTATGGACACTGAAAGCATTTGCACCAAGACAAATTCCTTGTGTGTCCAATCACACTTGGCCAATAAAGAATTCTATTCTATTCTATTTTCTATTCCCTCTTCATTCTATTCTACATTCTACATTCTACATTCTAC